CCTGTTTGTAACTTTCCAAAATCAAAGTTCTAATCACCCCTTTGCTGTTTACAAGTAGTCCTCAACTTACAACCATTTGTTTAACAACCGTTAGAAGTTATGATGGCACTGAAAAAAGTGACTTATGACCAGTCCTCACACTTATGACCTTTGCAGATTCCCCATGGTCATATGATCAAAATTCAGGTGCTTGGCAACTGGCATGTATTTACTATGGTTGCAACATCCCAGGTCATGTGATTGCCATTTGCAACCTTAGCAGGGGGCTTTTGACAAGCAAAGTCAATTGGGGAAGTCAAATTTGCTTAATGACCATGTGATTTTGCTTAATGACTATGGCAAAAAAGGTCGTAAAATCAGACGCAACTCACTTAATGACCGCATTACTTGGTGACAGATGTTCTGTTCCCATTTGTGGTTGTAAGTTGAGGACTACCTGTATCCCAAAAGAATTTTTTTTAAAATCCTTAAACTTGTATTTAAAACTTCTTTCGCTAAGGATTGAAGGAAACTTATCCGGTGCTGTCAAACTTGTCAATCCAAAGGTTCCTAATAGCTGAAAAGCAGTTAACAAGCAATTTCTGAAAGTTATCCGGTGCTGTCAAACTTGTCAATCCAAAGGTTCCTAATAGCTGAAAAGCAGTTAACAAGCAATTTCTGAAAGTGATTACAAAAGGAAGTATGAGAACCCAGTATCCTTTTGAAGGTGCTGACTGTGGCTTGAGCAAAAAGATGGCTATTCTGGGAGCTTTAAACTTGCTGGAGACTGCTGTCTTGAGGTCGCCTCATGAGGAGCAACTATATGGAGCCATCTTCAGTTTGCCATTTGTTTTCCAGAAGTCACCCATCAAAGGGGTTTTCCCATGGGGTTTTGTTCGTGTAGCATGTCTTGTTTCTAAAGGAAGGTGTGTTTTATGAAAAGGGCTGGAGGCAGGAAATTGAATTGGGCCCACATTGCCTGAAAGAGTTGCATGCATAACTAACAACTCTGATGAGAATTATCAAGGTCAGGAAATGGCATAAGTTCACACACAGCACCCCAGCTCCAATCAGATTTGCTTTAGCAGCTATTTTTTTTTTTAAATCTATATTGAATTTTTTTTTATGTACCCCTTCCAACAAGTTATCCACAAGAAACAGGGCACTTGCTCAGTGTAGCCCTTTGCAGGCCTTACCAAAACCTTATATACATATAAGGAGGAATCGAGAGGTGTGCGACTCCTCCTTGTCACATGAGCTGGTTTGTAGCAGGTGTCTGCACACTCTGAACTGAGGAAAACTTTGCCCATGCAGCTGTACATTCGTTGGTTGCCACATGACTATAAGGCCCAGTAGCAGAGATTGTGGTTGTCCAGAAGCCAAGACTCATAATGCCCCCCTGCCCTGTAGAGATGGCCATGCTTTAGAGATACCACTAGTAGACAGATACACCATGTGTAAAATCAGGAGGGGGAGCTGTTCTGCCTCTGTTTGCACATTCTATGATATGTTTTGGATAGTTCCTGAAGAATGTACTGAAGATTGTTGGGACTTGAGTCAGAAGACTGTGTTTAAACCCCACGTCACTGGATCTCCAGGGGCCAACCACTGTCACGAATTAACCTATCTCGCAGTTGAGAAGAAATTCTCCTGTACATCAGCATGAGCATCAGGGACAAAGGGCAAAATAAAGCACCAACCCAGCCCGGCTATTGAACAGGGAGAAGTCCTTGTCTCAAGCCACATTGGAGTTCTTCAGGCAGCAAAATATCTTGGCCCCAAACCCAAAAATGTACTGATAATATGTCCCCTTTGTTTCTATCTCGTGGCTGGGGTGCAGCCTTTTTGTTCTGTTACATAGCAAAAAGCCAGTTTGGTCTAGTGGTGAAGGCACCAGGCCAGAAACCAGGAGAGTGTGAGTTCTAGTCTTGCCTTAGGCATGAAAGCCGGCTGGGTGATTTGGGGCCGGTCACTCTCTCTCAGCCCAACTCACCTCACAGGGTTGTTGCTGTGGGGAAAATAGGAGAAGGGAGGAGCATTAGGTAAGTTTGCCACATTGAGTTATTT